TTTTCACATTACTGCTCTGAAAGCTGAAAGGCAGACGACAAAGTTCAATTCTTACCATTTGCCATTCGCATACGCGAGGTGCTTTACTAAACTTATGTTTATATTGGTGTAAGGTATAATGCCTTTCAAATTCGACATTCCTTGCTTTGTGGAATTTAAAAGCAAAATTTTAGGAATTGAAGCTCTTGCTCGTTTTTGGACGATAAACAAAAGAAACTTATCACATATGTCATCAAAGAGCGTTCCGATTTCTATAGCGGTCTTTTATTTCCGAGTGAAATCCGACGAGAGCCCCGCTGATTCGCAAATTAAGCTTAACAATAGCATGAATATCTGAATACTTGACAACCCACTGAAAGGAGGGTACACATTTAAATCGACGTAAAGTTGTCATGGTTTAACCAGTCCTCAAATATCTCTAACGATTAAGAACCTAGAAATTAACATTTTATTTTAGGCTAATAATTGGGCATTGTCGCAACATTTCAACTACTCTACTGTTAGTCTTCGTCAGGCAATGAGGTTGAAAGTTTAAGTGTTGCTATTTAGGGTTCCTTGGTTTATTGCTATTGGTGTGTTTTGACATGCTGTCATTGGTGCATGTCAATCCTCTTTAGAATTGCTACTATTAGATGTTATTTAGTTGCTGAAAAGTATGTGAAATGTGGCTTATTTGCATGATTGGAGTCATGATTTGCTCACGACATGTCTTCAAGCGTGAAATGGATTAGACAATCTCGCCATTTTACTTCATATCACTCAAGTAAACACGGCAATAATTAAAGGACCTCAAAGCTGGAAAATATAATCAGGAGCTCTTCTATTCTGTACTCAATGTTAAAACGAGAAATTGCTGCCGATCTTCTCGCACAGTACGGTGTTGTACTACTGTATTTGCTCGAATCGGAAGCTTCAAATTCTCTAGAGCAGCTATGCGTGTTCAAAGTCAAGACTCCGGAAAAGTATACATTTCTTTGGAGCGTTTCCAGAAAAAGATGAAGTCCTCGGTGGCTCAAACACACGCTCGTAACCGTCACAAAGGCGAAAAATGTGAATAAAATAGAGCGCCAAGAGGGTAAATGATAATAAGAGTGGGAAATCTTAATGAAATCTTAATGAAATAAAAGCTAACTTTTTCCCCCAAGCATAAAGTTATTGGGCATTTCCTTGTGCGATCAGAGGGCTTCGTTTCACTCAAGATCCTCACGCTATACCGTGACAACTCTGACACAGGCTGTTTTTTGTTTTGTTTTGTTTTCGTCACATTCTAATCATTTTGTTTATTTGAGCAGCCTCCAGATGGGTATTACGCGCCAAAAAGTAGTGTAATGTGTTTTGAAAACAATTAAACTCATTGTGAAGCTGGATCTCCTAGTCAAACAATAACCGCCATCCATATAATCATTATCCATATAATAAAATATAGAATAGATCCATATCTAACGAATATAGAAACGATCCTTGCAGTTACGAATACTACTTAACTAGTCGTGAAAATAAGTTATAACTGCCAGGATCACTTCTATATTTGTTTCTTCAACCGCAGTGCACATATATGATTTTCATATATTTACAGTCGTGTAGATCCATATCTATTTGTCATAAATTATACTATGTCGTTTGCTTCGTGTGATGATGTTATTGAAGTCAGTGGATCTTCAGACGAATGAACCTAAATGCACATCGTCTTGCTATGATCTCGTCTGTTTAACCTCATTTTCACTACCTTGGCCAAACTCCCTCCTTTATTTGCAATCTGAGTCTGAGCGTGATATGACTGAATCGACCTATAAAATTTTGATGCGATCGTGATTCAATCCTCCCAGTGCGTAACTAAGTGTCGGACTGCAACTGTAGAATATATAATACTCCATCTGATAACTGTCTCTAGGTAGTGAATTATCACTCACTTTTTATTTGTTTCCAAATGATGGAAACTTGCTACCTTCGTTACTCTAGTTTAAAACCCAAAGTACATACCTCTGTTACCGATGCACTTTTTAAAACTATGCGCACTTTGCAGATCATATCCAGAGTTCAGTTCATCGAGCAGAAAAATTTTTCGTTATGGATGTCCTCAGCAACGAAAAAAGATGGCTTGTGACTCTTGTTACCTCAAATAAGATCGTAGCTCCAGCTTTACGGGAGGTCATTCAAAATGGAATGGAAGAGCTGTATACTACCCTAGATGATAGATTATCAAAATCTTACAGTCTAAAAACACTGACCTACGAAGATGTGAGACATTTAGCAGCCACTCCAAGTCCTTGGCTTAAAGACTTACATTTCGAAAATATCAACAACAATTCCGATGTGAAAGGAGAGAACAAAAAGACCCGCTACAACTACAATGTAAACAGCTCAGTTGATCTTGCCAAGCTTTATCTCCCAGACTACCTTGCAGAATTCTCGGCATTCGACAAGTCTATGGATTTAAGTGCCTCTCTTAGACTTCTGGGATGTAGGATGTATCCCAAACAAATATTCGTGTCTTCCGATCCTTCGCACAATATTCAGGAGTTGGCAGATGATGTCAGAAAAAATGTTAGGAATAAGGGAGCTCATTTTAAAGAGAAAGACTGGACCCCAATCTTCTTTGACCAGTGCTTTGAAATGTTAAAGGCTCTACTCCAATGTTTGCCCCTGCTTCCCGACGAAAAGAAGAAGGAGCTTTCGGATCAACTTTCTACATGGAAAACAGAAGGTACTAAAAATGTCACAAGTAGTGTAATGTGAATATTCAATGAATATCTTGTTGATATCGACTCTCCATGTCGGATTTTAACTCAAGACTTACGTAAATACGCTTAAAGAGAGCCCAGACGTGGTTTTCCAGGGGTAACAGGGCATTCTTCCTGGAAATTTGAAAACATAAAATGTTTTTGGCTGCATTTCCAGTATTTTACGTCTACCCGTAGTTTCGAAAACATAACCGCTTAGGAGCCAAACTCAGCGCAAACTCCTAACCCTGTTTAGGCTCATGACGCTTCACCACTCTCTACTCACAGGGATTAAGCCCACTGTTTAATCTGTAGCAGGGCACATTCCTGGCTTCCATACATAGCCCTTTGAATATGTTTGTGATCGTTTGTTGTCTATTAATCTCATCAAATCAAACTAGACCACTTGCGATTGCTATGATGTTTTTATTGCCATGGCAACTCGCGCGAATCCCCGCTTCAGGGGTTTTCCCTGTGCCAACTTGGTTGTTGCAATCAAGTAGCGGAACAACATCCTAGGAGGAGCCCGTTTCATTAATATGAAGTAGAATCTGTCTTATTCATTACTCAAATGCCATGACAACACATCATTTCCTCTCACCAGTTAATTGGCTTAATCTCTGCCTTCAGAGTTGACATTATTATTATTATTATTATTATTGTTATTATAATTGCTATTATTTTTATTATTATTGTCATCATTATTATTATTGTTATCATTATTACCATCATTCATTGTGCAGTCATCATTTTTAGGTATCGAGCTGATTGTTTACGATGACCTCCAAGAGGTACTAGAAGAATTCCGTAAGGTCGAATTTGCTTCAATTCATGAAAAATTGGGCGACATACCAACTAAAGAGGAGAAAGAAAGAGGGATAAAAACGCTGTTGAACATTCGTGCCGAGGTGATGGATGGATTTTGTAGAGTGGAACACTCACTTCAAAAGTTGATGAAAAAGATAGACAGTAAGTTTATAAATAACTACTTGTTGTAAAATTCCAGTGAAAAAATGTTTTAAGAGAGGGCCCTTTTAGCCGTTGACAATTTCACCCACAGAAGCGCATAGATTTCCCATTAACACTCGCAAGGCAATTGGGGACCACGTGGTTAGATACAGATAGATAAGTTGTTATTGCTATGTTGCAAAAGTGTGTACTGTCGACACGTACATAATTACGAGTCCTAATTGTTCTGTAATATAAGAGGTTTCTAACATAATTTTTACATTGCACCTTTAACTGCGAACAGAAAAGTACAAGTACAGAAAGTCACCGACCATACTTTGGTTTCAAGAACCACACATCTTTTTTACCAACCCGGTTGCATTTGTTAAATTATGCAGGCATCAGAGACAGTGCCGCTCTAACTCAATATATTAACAAGAGTGTTCACTCTACAGGATCAAGCGTCCTTTATACAGACGCCACTTCCAATGAAACCCACCAAATGAGGGGAAAGGTAACATAATCTGATAACAGATAGTTTCCGGTCAAATGCTCAGACATTAGACAAAAACATAATTTATTTACTGTGGTTGATATGAAGTCGTTTGGTTGTCGGGTTTGCCAGGCGTGGGGCTCATGTTGACAAAAACAGCATTATATTAGCTACGATATACACTAAGCATGAAGCATAGTTTTAAATCACCCGAGAGAAACAAAGCAAGAGGGCAATTAGCCTATGTCGAAACGACAGTCCCTACTACCTTCAACAATGTTCCTCCGCGGATAAACTACAATCAAACAATAATTTTGGGCTCAAACTGTTACTGAAGAAAAGTTCACTTGTTATGCAATGTTTCATCGAATGTGACACGAGACCCGTGTCACATGAATATATATATATATATATATATATATATATATATGGAATGAATACGTCGACTTCAAACCCAGATATGATGTGACAGTTTTATGATGTGGTGCTTTAATGAACTGCCATGTCTTCGTGTTACTTTTTTGGTTTTTTTAACGTGATTTTTCAATTTTCATTGAAATAGGTCAAAATTCCACTTCGATAAAATCCTCTTTTTCTTTGTAATATGCTTTTGTGAGTAGTACAGTAGTACACTCTTTGCTTTTGTTTTCATATTATTGTGCCGAAAAAATACAGCTGAAGCAATAATTTGAAGTCCACATTAAAAACCCAGTATTATAAAAACCTTAGTATTATCTGTGATTACCTTCTTAAGCAATAATTTGCTACCAAGAGATGTACAGCATAGTATTCCTTGGTTCTCCAAATTGTAGGCAATATTAACATTTGCATCATATATTTGAAGTGTCCTTGGTGGTCAGTGGATGGTTATCGCCATTGAGTTTTTCTTTGTAAAACTTGTTTGCATGG